GGGACATGGAGAATGGCGAGGTCTTATTTTGGGGGTTCTGATGGTTAGTGTCTGGTCCATTTCTTTCTGTGTTTGTGTGGTCTGATGGGGAGTCCAGACCTTGCGTCTCAACCTCCAAGGGCTTAGACATTCTTACTTCTCTTGGGAAGACACAGCAAAGCTAATACAGTCAGGCCACCAAACCAGTTCGTTCTCTCTCTCAGGCCCATTCAGGAATGTTCTGAGATCTTCGCAAGGACTATTCCCTCTGCCTGGAATGTCCCCTCTGTCATTCTGTTGAACTCCTACTCATCCTTCAAGGGCCAGTCCCAGGTCCTGCTCCTCTGTGGAGCCATGGCCTGCCTTCTCTCTGAGCTCCCACAGGCCCCTATTTCTTGAGGCTGCAGCCAGTTTACACCCTGCCCCCATACAATCCTGTGTCTTGATCTCTGAAGCTCTTTGATCTCCCTAGGTTGTCCTCGTGGCTTGGATGTGACCCACTTCTGGGCTTCGAGGGTCTATACTTTACCACTGGTTCCCCACTTGCTCTGACAAGCTTCCCGCATGTGCTCAGGGAGGCTCTAAAGGTATGAGACACCACCTCGCCATTCCCACCAACACGGAATTCCAGGCACCCACTCTTTAACTGATTTTTCTATTAACCAACCACCGGTCTCCACCACATCATAAATTAGGCCTTTTACTACACCTTCTCCAAAAAGCCTCTACCACCACACTGTTCTCCAGCTTCTAAGATCCTAAGGTCCAGGGAATATGCTACTCTGTCGTATAAAAAGCCTTTCATTCATTCAGCATACCTGCTCTGCACTGGGCATTGTTCTAGGCCTTGGAAATAAAGCATGGAAGAATTCATACGAGATCTTGACAGAACAAAGGCAAGTCTTAAAATGATTCCATACGGACCAGGATAAGGAATGAAGAGAATGGAAAGCACAGGTTGGGATTCCGAAGAAGGTAGAAAGAATGGAACAAACTCGGGGGTCAGCAGATCCAACACTCATTCCTGCTACTAATATATATGACATTGGAATTATTTTGTTGACTTTTTCTCACTTATAAAATGTATCAGTTTCTTGATATATAAAAATGAGAATTATATTACCCACCTCAGATGAATATTGTAAAATTAAAATAAGTTACATAAAGTTCTTTGTGCATAGTAGATATTCGGTGAGTACTACTTTTAACCCACAAAGAAGGAACTGGTTAAACAGAAATACTAAAAGTACAGTTATAGAGGCCTATTTCTCTCACTCACTTTTTTTTTTTTTTTTTTTTTTGAGTTGGAGTCTGTTTCCCAGACTGGAGTGCAGTGCATGCTCACAGCCACCGCAGCCTCAACCTGCTGGGCTCAGGTGATCCTTCCACCTCAGCCTTCCAAGTAGCTGGAACTACAGGTGTGCACCACCACACCTGGCTAGTTTTTTGATTTATTGTAGAGATGAAGTCTCATCAAGTTTTCCAGGCTGATCTCAAACCCGTGGGCTCAGGCAATCCTCTCACCTCTGCCTCCCAAAGTGCTAGGATTATAGGTATGCGCCACCACGTCTGGCCTCTCACTTTTAATTAAATTGTAGTAAAATATATGTAACTTAAAGTTTACCATCTTCACCATTTTTAAGCTTACAGTTCTGTGGCATGAAGTACATTCACATTGTTGTGCAAACATCTCGGCTATCCATTTCCAGAGTTCATCTTGCAAAACAGAAGTTCCACACATTAAACAACAATCCCCATTCCCCACTTCCCCATCCCTTGCAGTCACCTCTACTTTTGTCTCTGAATTTGACTTCTCTGAGAACCTCATGTAAATAGAATCGTATGATACTCATCCCTTTGTGTCTGGGTTATTTCACTTGTCATATTGTCTTCAAGATTCATCCATGTATCAGAATTCCCTTCCTTTTACAGTATTTTTCAATTCAGCCAAAAAAAAAAAAGAATTCCTTTCCTTTTTAAGACTGAATAATATTCCATTGTATTTATATGACACATTTTGTTTATTCATTCATCCACATTGGATGCTTGGGTTGCTTCTACCTGTTGGCTGTTATGACTAATGCTGTTATGAAAATGGGTGTACAAATATCTCTTTGTGCCTCTGCTTCCAATTGTTTTGAGTATATACCCAGAAATGGAATTGCTGGGCCATATGGTAATTCTGTTTTTAATTTTTTGAGGAACCATCATACTATTTTGAGAGGTCTATTTCTTGATGAGGAAGTATAAACAGTGGAGTTTCCCAGGAAATTATTTTAAAACCATAAGTTATCTAAATATGAGACTTACCATTAAATGTTCATTTGCGTATAGGCAGTGAATAATTCATATTGTATAAAATTTAAGAACACCCCGTGAAAGTATGTGTGTGTATGTAGGTAGAAGAGTGGTTAATATGACTCAATGTGGGCACATAAGGGAATACACTTGATTTATTTTCTCCTTCCCCAAGGTCAGAGGAAGTATCCCTAGTTACATCTGTTAGTACATTCCCACTTACTGAGGGCAAAATATGGAAAACTGATGTGCCAGAGAACTTCAGAAGTCAAAAATGTACAAATGCACAGACTTACAGACACGTCTTTCATCTTAAATCTTCATTGCCTACAGAGCAAATTGGTACCTGACTCTAGATTCGAAATCAGCAGTTCTCTACTGGGGTGTGTTTTTTTCCTGGGAGACATCTGTCAGTGTCTGGAGTCAGTTTTGGTTGTCACAGCTAGAGAGGAGCTGCTGGCACCTCGTGAGTAGAGACCAGGGATACTGCTGAACTTGCTACAACGCACAGGACAGCCCTACAGCAGATAATGATCTAGCCCAAAATGTCACTAGTACTGAGAAGCACTGCTCCAAACCCAGATTACCTCCTCAGCCTAGTCCTTTTTTTTTTTTTTTTTTTTTTGAGTCGGAGTCTTACTCTGTCATCCAGGCCAGAGTATAATGGCATGCTCACAGCCATCACAATCTTGACCTGCTGGGCTCAGGCTATCCTTCCGCCTCAACCTTCCAAGTAGCTGGAACTACAGGCATGCACCACCACGCCTGGCTAATTTTTTAATTTATAAGGTCTCACCGAGTTGCCCAGGCTGGTCTTGAATTTCTGGGCTCAGGCAATCCTCTCACCTCTGCCTCCCAAAGTGCTGGGATTGTAGGTGAGAGCCACCGTGCCCGGCTTTAGCCTAGTCTTTAGCCTTTCTCTTGCATAAATAAAGCTGCCATCCCGACCAGACCCAGAGACTTCCAGTATGTGTTCATACACCAGCCAACATGCTTCTTCCTCTGATATCAGAGCCCAGTTTCAGTCCTCCTACTGTCACTGAAGTACTGGTCTCTTCAACCAATGTTCTCTTCCCTCTCTGATCTTCTGTAACTCTTCCAATAATCTGGCACTAAATTAACTATAGAAGGTGGTACTTGCTATCTTTCTATCTTGACTGAAGGCACCTTGAAGGCCATGTTGATATGGTTTGAATTGAAATATGAAGTACCACTCCATTTTTTTTTTTTTTGAGTCAGAGTCTCACTGTCACCCAGGCTGGAGTACAGTGGCATACTCATGGTCAGCGCAGCCTTGACCTGCAGGGCTCAGGTGATCCTTCTGCCTCAGCCTTCCAAGTAGCTGGAACCACAGGTGCATGCCACCACACAGTTAATTTTTTGGCTTATCGTAGAGACGAGGTTTTACAAAGATGTTCAGGCTGGTCTTGAACCCCTGGACTCGGGCAGTTCTCTCATCTCGGCTTCCCAAAGTGCTGGGATTACAGGTGTGAGCCACCATGCCCGGCTAAAGTACCACTCTATATATCCCAACGGACACCTCAGACTTGACCCACCCAGGGCTTTCTGTGCCATTTACCTGCCATCATGGGGTATAGTGGTTGAGTCACTTGTTTCACCATAGCAGTTGAGTACATTAAGATTCAGCTTTTTTAAAGAACTACTAGCCTAATGGAACCTGAGCCCAAACATGAATCTCAGCCTTAGGAAAGTATTTATAGCCGGGCTCAGTGGCTCAGCCTGTAATCCCAGCACTTTGGGAGGCTGAGGTGAGTGGATTGCCTGAGCCCGCGGGTTCGAGACCCGCCTGGGCGGCGAGACCTCATCTCTACAATAAATCAAAAAATTAGCTGGGTGTGGTAGCGCGTGCCTATAGTTCCAGCTACTTGGAAGGCTGAGGCGGAAGAATCTCTGGAGCCCAGCAGGTCGAGGCTGCAGGTGGCCAGGAGCGGCCACTGCACTATAGTCTGGGCGACAGAGGGAGACTCCAACTCAAAAAAATAACAAAAAAAAGGAAAGTATTTATGCTAAACTTACTTTCTTATCTAAACTGGAAGATATGGGTGAAGATAGGTGTAAAGGAATGGACTCTATCTTGCACTAATCACTTTCCTCCAGCAGAGTATAGGCTGGAAGAACTACCTTATGGAGCCTGAGAGACTTCCCATTTCAGCTACTTGGATAAGAATTATCCAAGCTGCTGGGCCTACTTAATGGCAGTCAGTGTTGATGGTGATAATATTAGTAGTGAAAACCATCATTACTTATTTAGAATCCAGTGTGTTCTAGGCACCAGGCTAGGTGCTTTATACACATGATCTTACCCAGCCCTCATCACAGTCCCCAAAGGAAGCGGGAGCACGAATGGATAATCTGCCCAAGGACATCTAGCTAGCAAATAGCAGAGCTGAAATTTAAACAAGATCTGTCCAACTTCAAAGCCTGTGCTCTCAGCCACCCCAGCCCCTCACTGCCTTGAGTGTAGCCAGGCGCCTACCTCTACCACTACTGATAGGAGAGATTTGTGTTATGATATGCCAAGATGTGGGCGAGATCCCTTGTGCTCTCAGTGGAGAGGTGGGGTAGGCCAGGGCACTATGTTGTAAATCAGGACCCAGTGTCATGTCTGATCACTCCACTGCTGCGGGAAGAGGAACCCTCAGGGGCTACACCCTAGCTCCCACAGAGTCTTCTGACCCTTCTTGTTTTTGCTTCCTCTTTAGGTGCACTACATTCTCCAGGAGGTGGTGATGGGTGGGATGGTGCTAGAAACCAACATGAATGAGATCGTGGCTCAGATGGAAGCTCAAAACAGGCTAGAGAAATCTGAGGTGAGTAAGTGGCTGTGCTCTAGCCCTGGCTGGTAAAGAAGACCTGGGCAGAGAGAAGAATGTGTACATGTGTTGGTTTGTGTTGCTGTGGAACACCAGGAAATGGTTTGTTCTCATCTTCTTTCTTCCTTGAGTCCATCAGGACTGACTGATTTGAAAGTCAGCTCTGAAAATCAAACAGGTAATGAGGTTTGAAGTCTCAGGCTTTCAGGCTAGAAGTGTGAATGGAAAAGCCAGATGACAGAGGAGGGCAAACAGCTTCTGGCTTGAGGGGGTTATGGCCCATGTTTGCGGTTTGTAATTTCTCCTTTCAAAGCCACATGTTCCCTGGAGGGGCCCTGAATCCCCTTCTCCGACTCCAGTGTGGTTTTCAAGTTTGTGTGTTACATGAGTCTGAACTCCCAGCAGCCATTTCTTGTGGTGTCTTTCAGACCTCAGAGTTGCCAATTTCCTTACTTCCAGTTAGCCTTATAAAAAGCTACAACAGAATTTGGACTGGGTTTGAAAATAACATACCCCAGTCCACCCCCACAAAGTGCTGGGCCTCATGCAGATATTCACAGTAAATTCTGTCCTATCCCCTGAGGTCTCTCCATCTCCTTCCTCAGTGTTACCAGGTAGCAGAGGTTATAGATAGGCACTTTCATATGCAGAAATAGCAGAACAAGTTACCTCTTTACTCATCTGAGTGTCTTAAAGATCCTCTCTGCTTTGTATAACGGAACTTGATCTTGCAAAATCAGGAATTCTTCTTTCTGTGAGGACTGGCAGTCCTGCTGAAGAAGCTTTTCCAGACCACAGCTATTGTGGCAGTTATAGTTCTTTTAGAAATACAGGCTGGGAAGCTTCCAGGAATAGTAAGTGACTCAGAGGCAGGGGGTTTGGAAACAAGAAGAAATGGAGACTTGCTGGGTAAGGGTGGAATCGGAGTTGGTATCCTGAAAGTAGTCAGTAGGGGAAAATGATTTTGAGGGGGTCTTTGTCAGCCTCTCCCCTCTCTCCATACTGGGAATGACCTGGAGAGTGGAAGTTGACAATAGCATCTGTACCTTGTGTTTTGTTACCAGTCCTGTGTCTGTGGCACACGCCCCTCCTGCCCATCAGTGCCTCCCAGCCTGTTGCCATATGACGTTTCCAAAGCCAGCCCTTCTCATGTCACATTATTAGTTGGCAAGCAGCAGCCCTGGAGCTGTGACATTCTTTTTCCTTTTAAGAATATCCCTGTGACTTTGCACTTGTAAGAGGCTTCAGTCTCTTGAAGAAAGGATTTTTTTCTATAACCAGAAAAGTGCCCCGATACTTAATGTGATTTGAATAGTCCATCTTAGATGATTTCAGCAGGTGTTTACAGAGCACTTACCACATTCCAGGCACTGTTAGATGCTGTACGGTAGGACTTCCTAAGTCACAGCCCTGCCTTTGAGGAGCTCATAGTCTAGTAGGAGTGCTGCCCTTGATCCTTACACCAAACCCATCTAACCTAGAGGTTGTTTTGTGGCTACCTTTGAGGAATAAGGAGGAAAAATTAAAGCTTCCGTTGTGTGTGCTCAGTTTGGAATTTTCCTAGGCTTCCCCGCCTATTATTTTGTTCATTTTTGTGCATCAGGGCATTAAGCAGTGACATTAAGGGCATTAAGCAGAGAATTTGTCTCATACCTACCTCTCATTTCTCCTCAGGGTGGCCTCTCAGCAGCCCCTGCACGGGCTGTATCTGCTGTGAAAAACATCAATCTGCCTGAGATTCCTCGGAACATCAACATTGGTGATCTCAACATCAAGGTTCCCAACTTGTCCCAGTTTGTCTGAGGGCTGAGGATTGGGCTGAACTGGAGTTCTTAAAACAAGAAAAGCTCAACAAGTCTGGATAACAGAACCCATTTTGAGCCTTAGAAGAGTCAAGCCTTGGGACCTGGAACCTTTCTGCCTGGGGAAGCCAGTTTGGCCTGGAATGGGAAGGGATTCGTATTGACACTGCTCGGGTGTGCTCAGTTCTTACATGTGCAGCCATGCAGTTCCCTGATGCACGTGGCCACTGCAGATGGGTGGGGCCCTGCCTTCCTCAGTGGGGGATCTGTGTGCCCAAGGCACTCACACCGTTACTTCTCACACAGCAGCTCCCAGGGGTTGGGGACTGTTGAGCAGGCCCACCAGCTTCCCACTAGGACTGAACACATTCTCTGACTCAAGTCTTCATCCTTAGCGCCACAGGCTCCTGAGGGCCTGCAGCATCTACTTGTTGGTGAGGTGCCATAGGTAGGAAAGGGCTGGCCCTTCAGATTTGCGGGTGTGGCAGGTTGCACATAAGTGCAGGACTTTGTGAAAACCAGAGTCACCTGCTCACTCTACTGAGATTGCTATACCCATAATTTTTTTGTATAGCCAAGACTTGGGGTTGCCATCTCCTGGGTTATGTTTCCACCACTGTCATAGTCCCTACCAGTTCTATTCTCACGAGTGTTCATGTGCAGGACACAATTCAAACCATAAACCTGTTGCATGCCTGCCACATTTCTGCTGATAGGGAGAGCCCCTGTGTCTGTAGAAGATTAATGCAGACAATGTGCAGAACATCCCAAAATTATGACTCCCCAGGTATAAAACACATTCTCATGGGAGTAGAGGGTTCAATTGCTGCGAATAATGAGTTGCCTCTGCCAGAAACCCCCTGTCGCCTGTGCCAGCTTGTGGAGCATGAGAGCCTGAGCTGGGGGCACCCCTTCAGGCTGTGGACATGGATGCTTTGACTGAGACCAGTGGCGGTGCTTCATCTGCTCTCTTCCCTGGGCTCTGCTTGTGGACATGTCCTGTTCCCTCAGATGGCATTTTCTCAGAGCTCTGGAAACCCATAAATGTTTACATGTGATGAGAGTCTTCTTCCAGCCAGGCTCGGTGGCTTAGCCTGCAATCCCGTGCCTTTGGGAGGCTGAGGTGAGTGGATTGCCTGAGCCCGCGGGTTCGAGACCCGCCAGGGCAGCGAGACCTCATCTCTACAATAAATAAAAAAAAAATCAGCCGGCCATGGTAGCGCATGCCTGTAATTCTGGCTACTTGGAAGGCTGAGGCGGAAGGATCGCCGGAGCCCAGCAGGTCGAGGCTGCGGTGGCCAGAAGTGGCCACTGCACTCCAGTCTGGGCGACAGAGTGAGACTTCAACTAAAAAAAAAAAAAAAAAAAAGAGTCTTCTTCCTGTGGCTAATTTATAGCTAAAGCTCTCCTCGGCAGAGGGCCTCTTGCTCCAACACTGTCTCCTGTGCTGGCTCTCAGGTACTGTGTGTAGCTGCCCTGAGACCAGAGAGCTGAGTATACCGTCATCGTAGTTTCCCTGCCTGGGACCTCCTGGGCCTGCTAGCTGGGGACCGAGACCGCTTCCTCAAGCCTCCTGATGCTGTGGCAGAGCCGGCCTGAGGGGGCATCCCCAGGACCATGCATCAGGGCCAATCAGGGTCTGTCTCCGAACGGCACTTCCTGTGGTCTGAGCCCATTGCTCCCTGTTCTCACTCATCCTCGCGCTCTCGGTCCCCCATGACAGCCTAGAGGTGGGCGGTGTTGGCCAGAAGGTGGGCCTCTTGTGTTGGAAGATGGAATGCAGGTGAATAGATCTCAAAACCCTGATCTCATTCTTTCGAAGGGTTGGATTTTTAAATTTAATTTTTGGCAGTCATTTCAGCAGATTCACATTTCTCTCACACTTGCTGAGCGTGAAATCAGAATAAAGGAAACCAGTGTTTATTTTGCACCTACTGTAAGTTGGCATGAACAAGATCCTTCAGCAGTTCTTACAGCAGACATTTTGCAGATGAAGACAGCAGACTCAGGTCAAGTAACCAGCCTTTAGGTCACACAGGGCTAAGATTTTAGATTGTCTGCCCCCTTGACACCAAAGTCTTTTTTTTTTTCTTTTCCTCACTGCTTAAGATGGCCTCTCCCAATTTTTTCCTATTTTTTACAATTAAAGAACTGAGGCCGGGCTTAGTGGCTCAGCCTGTAATCCCACGCTTTGGGAGGCCGAGGTGAGTGGATTGCCTGAGCCCGCGGGTTCAAGACCCACCTGGGCAACTTGGCGAGACCTCATCTCTACAATAAATCAGAAAATTAGCTGGGCATGGTAGCGCATACCTGTAGTTCCAGCTACTTGGAAGGCTGAGGCGGAAGGATCGCTGGAGCCCAGCAGGTCAAGGCTGCGGTGGCCGAGAGCGTGCCACTGCACTCCAGTCTGGGCGACAGAGTGAGACTTCAACTCAAAAAAGAAAAAAGAACTGAATTTGAAAGAGATTAAGTAGCTTCTCACAAACAGGCTTGGTTTTCTAAGGCAGCCAGTGACCATGTCATAGAGTGTAAGAGCTGAAGGGTCCCCTGCATCCCTCCATTTAACTGATGTGAAGCCGAAGCCCAGGGTGTTGCATTAGTCACAAAAGCCAGAGCCATGTCATTTTGTTAGTTCATTTGTTAAGTGACTTAATGCATTGCTACTGGACAGCCACACATGCTAGAGTTCCTGAGCAGTCTTTATTTCTAATGTTTTTCCTGCTGGAAAAATCAATATTCTCCAGAATCATCGAGGGGTCCTGTAGATTCAAAGTGAGCATCCAGACATGCCTCAGACTGCCTGTTACAATGACTGACTTCAGCCTGACTTTTATTTGGGAAACTCAATCCTTTTGGACAAGCCACAGTAATTGTTCACTAACTACTTTGAGGTTGCCCGCAAATCCAGAATTCTGCTAACTTTCTGGCCTGCTGTCAGCAAAGCCATAATCATCTTTTTAAAAAACAGGTTAAGAGGAAATTCTCATTAGCCTTTTTTTTTTTTTAAGAGAAAAGTACGGATTTTGCTGATGAGAGATGTCAGTTATGAAAATAGGGGCTAGGTTTGAATTTATTATACTTTGGGAATCCTTGGCCCTGGCTGGTTTACATGGAGGGCTTGGGAATCCTTGGCCCTGGCTGGTTTACATGGAGGTTGTATAGAATATTGTGTTTTCTGTGCTCACTGCCATTACTTTACATCTGAAGTTCTTCCATTGTACAAGTTCTAAGTTTCTGGTGAGGGCCAGGCTCATTTGGAGGCTCTGAGGACAGAATGAGGCTCTACTTCCTGCTGCTGTCAGGGAGTGAATCTGACAGGGAGTGCTCAGATGGGATATGGGGTCTGACTGGCAGCCTGAATGTGTGGAGACTGGAATCAGTGACTCTGTAGTATAAGAAACATTTAGAGGACAGTAACCATCTCCCACCTGAGCTGACCACATCATCCTTCGACAGCCCATCTTCTAGACCTGGCCGTGGCTCTGCACTTGTCACATTAAGGGTTAAGTCAGAATATTTTTGTGTGTGTGTGTTGGAGTCTTACTGTGTCGCCCAGACTGGAGTGCAGTGGCCGCTCCCGGCCACTGCAGCCTCGACCTGCTGGGCTCCAGCGATCCTTCCACCTCAGCCTTCCAAGTAGCTGGAACTACAGGCGCGCGCTACCATGCCCTGCCGATTTTTTGATTTATTGTAGAGATGAGGTCTCGCTGCCCAGGCGGGTCTCGAACCCGTGGGCTCTGGTAATCCACTCACCTCAGCCTCCCAAAGGCACGGGATTACAGGCTGAGCCACCGAGCCCGGCTAAATCAGAATATTTTGAGGTCTTTCAAATCCTCGTGTATTCAGGTGTCTGCCACACATAGAGCCAGCCCTCCCTCCCTGCTCCCCCTCCCCCCTCCATGGAGCCAATTCACGGAAGACTTCTATGGCCCAGCTTCATCAGAAAAGAAAGGGAGCGTGGCTAACTTACCTCGTAGACCAGACCTTAGTAGGGGGTTTCAGTGTGGTCATCTGTCCCTGGCTTTCCACACAGGCTGCAGGAGTGACTGGCATGTGGAAACAGATCATCGGGAGTGGAAGCTACTGAAGTAGCAGAGAGACCAGAGGGGTTTGTTGGCTCCTAGCAAGTGTCCTGATTTTCAGCCTCCCAAACCGACCCTACCCCAGAGAGGGTTCCTGTCTCTCTGTGTAGAGGCGGTTAACCCAGTACCGGCACGGCAGGTGCTTACAGGTTGGGGACTGACTGTCCTCAAAGTTGAGACTGTTCACCCTCTTGGGAATTGGAGGGTTCTACATGCGGTGTCTGGCAGAAGTGAAAATGGGCCCCCTTAGGCAAAGCAGTTCATGAAAGGAATGAATTTCTTCCAAAAGACTGTTAAAATGCTTTCCTATTTCAGTTTTTCCCTTCAAAAAAGGAAATTTATTTGTGCAGTTCAAACCTAATAAAACAAAGGCTGTTCAGCAAAAGCCGCCCACCCTGTTTCCCAGACACTGAGCCCCCACCCTGGAGCAACAAGTGTTTCCAATTTAAAGGATTAGGAAAAAAGTCCTCTCGGTGGCTCAGCCTGTAATCCTGTGCTTTGGGAGGCTGAGGTGAGTGGATTGCCTGAGCCCGTGGGTTCGTGCCCTGCCTGGGCAATTTGGCGAGACCTCATCTCTACAATAAATAAAAAAATTAGCCAGACGTGGTAGCCCGTGCCTGTAGTTCCAGCTACTTGGAAGACTGAGGCAGAAGGATCGCCGGAGCCCAGCAGGTCGAGGCTGCGGTGGCCTGGAGTGTGCCACTGCTCTCTAGTCTGGGTGACGGAGTGAGACTCCAACTCAAAAAAGAAAAAGAAAAAAGTCCTGGATTTTTATGACCTAAACCTAGAGTCTGTCTTCCTGAGAATGTAAGTCATGTTGGATTTAACCCTGGCAGTTGACCTCCGCTCACTACGCTCACGCCATCCTCTCAGTGAGGACCTCCAGTTTATACAGTAGCATCTTGCTCAGCACTGCCTGTTCTTGCTCGGCTGTTCCTTGTCCCCTGTCACTCTGGCATACTGTTTACTTAGTTTCTTAAGTTGTTTTCCGTTTCCCCTAGTAGGAAGTGAGCCTTTCTGGGCAGGGGTTTGTCTTGTTCAGCGCATCCCAGCTATGAACAGTGCCTGGGTGCTCTGTTGAACAGTCCGTAGTGCTCAATAAAGAACTGGTGAATGTTTGCTGGTTGAGGCATGTGGTAACTCATTCTTACCTGCTGTCGTAGCTTGTGTTCTCCGGGTCCCTAAACTCGGCACTTTGGGAAGAAGAACCAGGGTAGTGGTGTTGTCCCCATTACCCAGGCAACGCCCATGTTGGCTGGATCCCCCATGCCTGGAGAAGCCCTGGGATGGTCTTGAGGGAGGAGGCACTAGCTCAAGAGGGGCAGTGATCCACCTCGTAAGTGGGCATGTGAGGCAGGAGTTGCTCCAGGATCTGTGGGGCACCTGTCCTCCAGCCAGCTGGGGCACTGAGGAAATGAATGTCCTTCCAGAGGTGACAGGTGGAGCTGAGGGGGTGAGAACCATGGCCAGAGG